ATTAGTCCATATCATGAGCTTCTCCTGCAGGGCATGTGCTGTAACTGCAGGTGTCTTGGTTAGGAAGGCAGATGCTGGTTTCAGGGGGAATAAACCATCATAACAGTCACTAGTCTCCAGGGACCAATTCACCAGGGATCACTACATTTGAGGAACAGCCTCTATGTGTCAGTTGTTGCAAGATCAAATTTAGGGTCACAAGAAGGGTTAAAATGTCAGAAGAATACAAACAAGCAAACAGATATCTAGTAATGAATGTGATTCTGGCCTGATGCTCCGTAATGCTGGGATGTACTGAATTCTGTGATTCTAGAAGATCCAGTAGAGTTCCAAAATATATATATGTTCTTCCCTTTAGTCACAATCAATGTGTAAAACATCTGGACTAGTATTTACAAGGTGGACTGAGGGGACTAGACTTTACGGAGACCTCTAAGATCATCCTTACTATTTGGGACATTTAATTGTCAGTTTTAAGCATATGCTATTATAAATCAGCTATTTAGTGGGCACCACTGTCAGTAATATATGATTGTAAAGCCATACTGCATCAGAGGAAAGGATAATGTATTTGATGATTGGGTAATTAATTCTGCAGCTTGGATTTACCCAACTTATTCTTGAGTTCATGGTAGCTGCGCATACCCACCTTTGAGAATATTCCAGATACTGAGCCAGTTCACATGGTCAAATAGCCTAGCATTGCTCGTACTAGAGGACAATTTAAATAGCCATGCTACCACTTGTCGTATTCTCTGAATCTCTGGACCATGGGTCATGCAAGAGCGGAATGGAATGGACTCTAGGATTTTTGAAAGACACTTTTCAATAATCCTTGCATAAACCAACATCAGGCTTATTTAACACTTGGGTGACCCATGATTCCCAGCTTTAGATGAAAGCATAAGCCATGGCTTGAATATTTTTATATTGCCCAGCTTGCACTGTAGCCCTCTGTAGTTTAATCAACCAAACTGGATCACCGATTTAGATCCTAAGATAAATCAAGGAAGTTTATGGGACGAGAGACTTTCACCTTCACCTCCCGTGTGCAGCCACTTGAAGTCCCAAAGCATCCTTGGAAGAGGTAAGGTGCTGGGAAAAAGAGGAAACCAGAAACATTCAATTTGCTTTCCTCACTCAGCTTGTCATAGGAGCCATGCTATATTTGGGTGGTGGTGGGGATTTCACTCTCTCAAGCAACTGCCCAGTGCCCTACCCACATCGTGGAGGACATCGTAAGATGCTTTGGGGGGACACCTGTGGCTACAGGAGGGCAGGATGAGAGGGCAGAAAGCTTTCTGTCCATCTCCTTCACACAATTCTGTGCATGTTTACTCAGATATAAACCCCACTGAACTTGGCTGTTGAGTAGTATAGAAATCAAATAAATAAATAAAATTCAGTGAGGCTTACTCCCAGATAAGTACATATAGGCTTGCAGCCTAATTTAACCTACCTTAAGACCCAAAACTTCATGTTTCCTGATAAATAGCACTGTGTAAGCACAGACATGTAAAGTTTCATATGGAAATATTGCAATCATGAAAAGGATAGTAGAAATTTATTGTGAGAAGCTAAATTGAAGAATGTCAAAGAACTTTGGGCAGTTTGTTAAGAGGGTCCTATTAACACCTAGTACTGGCATTTCTCCTACTTTTCATCTTTACTTTTATTCCATTAAATAGGATACCAGCTTCTAGACTATCACAATTTTATGTTGCAAAGTGTTGTTCATGCATTATCCCTTAATCCAGATTAACCAACTGAGAAATTTGTCTGATGAGTGTTTCCTTCCTTTCCATTTTATTTTTCTACAATTTCCCCATCTCCATCATGCATAGTTGTTTATGGTTTGCTTTTAACATCCCTTTGTAACTTTTCTAATTTGGTCTTTTGCAAAAGAGGAATGATTATTGAAATTACTAATTAGGTATTCGACTGTTGTGCCTCATTTCCTGGCTGCTTTATCTTTGTCTTGCTTTGAGTGCAACATGCATTCTTTTATCTTTAGCTTTTCCTAACAAAGACCTAATTATTGCCCATTATTTCTTTGCATGTGGACCATTGGTTTAATAAAGGACTTATTGTTCACAGAGCTGATATGTTTTATAGGTTTGTTCTGCTTTTCTTTTGATTCAAACTGCATAAGCGAATCAATATGCATAGACACAGATTTAGACATAAATAGCATGATTTGAATAGAAATACAGTACATCTCACTATAGCCTGGTAGATTGAGACCAAGCGACCAGTGTGCTTTGCTCAGTCTGTTCTTGAGGTGCTGATATGGACAACTTCAAGACCCAGCTCTTCCTTCTTGTGGTTTTTTATCTTAAAACTGGACCAAGAATGGACAACTCTTTCAATAGACGATGCTTTCAAAACAAAGGGCAGTTCCCTGACTACCCATTAATAAGGGACTGCCCTTTGTAAAAGAGGTCACATAGCCACCCTGGGATGAAAGTCAAGACCCAAAGGAGCTTTTGGAAACTCACATTCAACCATTCTCAACCCGTGAAGGAAAGTCATTGTGTTGTCCTAATCTGGCCCATAACTACATTTTATCACTGTGGGCACAATGGATTCTTTAGTAAATAACTCAATGGACTGTTGAACGCCTTGAAAACAAGCTGGAGTTGCAGAGTCATTGAATGACCCAGAGATATGGGATGGTTTATCCTGGCATTTCTGAACAGCATCGTTATACGGTCGGCTGAGGTGGCAATATAAATGGAATAATCAGCACAGCGCTTCACACAGGAACTTATTCTTCCCGTTCCACGACCTGAGGGGCTGTAGAGAAGGATCTGTTCCTGCTGAGTCCTATAATGCTGATATTAAATGTTTAATGAAACAGAGCACAGGAACAGAGTGTGCAGCACCTGCAATTATGTCCTTTGCATTTCTGTGAAACAGTATTTCCTACTAAATGCAAGCAAATGATACCAGATGCCTTGTACAAGTTTTATAGCACAATAGTAGCTGCTGCACGAGAGGCGATGCCTAACAGGGCAAAAGCAAAAATGCTTAAAAGAAATAAGGAAGTACAGGAGAAGAAAACATATAAAGAAGATCTAAAGCAGCCCAGAGAAATTTTAAAAATGCTGGGAGAAAATTGGTGGTATCCAAGTGTGAGTTGGCTTGTGGGATGCTGCAATGGGGCTTTGCACATCTAAAAATAATCCAAAATAACTTGTTTCTGGAATAGGGAAAATCAGCAAAGCTTGCTGAAGGGAGCTCCACTGACCTGTCCTGATCCAGAAATGAGTATTTCTCCTCAGTACTGGGGTTAGTTTTAAAAGGTGTCAGCCCCATTCTGTAAGTGCAAGAGAAGTAGAAGAGGTTGAACAGCCTTCTTGGATGGACCTATAATTTGCCATGGCTAAGCCATACATCTGAAGGTTTTGATTCACAAGTAGTGACTTCAGAAGGAGAAGCCCTAAAAATTATTTTGCTAAGGTTTTCTGCCTTCAGCAGCCACTTTTTTCCTCCCCGCCCTGCTGTTCAAGTGGCTATTTCCCCTTCCATTTCGTACCTTATCCCAGCCAGTTAGGTTTTACATACTGTGTAGTATGCTGTTGCTAGGTGATTGGGTAAACTGTATTTGGCTATTCACTGACATTCACTAAGGATATATAAAAGTCATTTGGTGGAAATGCAATGTTTTCTGTGCACATTATAGGAAACATGGGATCTATAAGTTATTTTCATCAAAGGTAGACAAATCTGTCAAGCTTGATTTCACACAGGTTATAATTTTTCCAATGTTTTCCAGTGTTTCCATATATCCGTTCTGCATCAGACTGTGATTTTTTATCTCATCTGCACAAATATTTGTACATATTATCAGGCCACTTAGAAATAGAGTTTTGCTCCAAATGCATGCAGCTTTGTGTACACCTTTTCCAAACATTGACATTTTTCATTATTTCCCTCCCGAAGAATGTGCTTTTGTATATTTTTCAAATATATACATTTGTGTGTGCTCTTTAATGCACACATTTTTGGTGAAATGACTTTATAAACTTCAGAAATATAGGATTTCAATGGCAATCTGTATTCTGATTCATGTTTGGGTTAGGGAATTGTGAATTTGCTGAGCTGACATTGAAATGTGAACTGAATAGATTTCTCACTCGTCCCTGCTTTCATTTTAGAGTTATGCTGCAGATTACCTGACACAAAATTCAGTTTTTTATTTCTGCTGAGTGACAGTAGAAGCTGGCAGTCAGCCATTCAACTATTACACAAGTCACTGCTGCTTCTAATCCTATGGAAGTTTACTTGGGAAAAAGACCTACAACTTTCAGTATGCTCCATCCAGCCATGCTGAGTGATTCCATCTAAACTAGCATATGATTGTACCTTTAAGGCATGGTCCTCTCCCATGGCTGGCTAGGAAATGTTGGGAATTGTAGAACTTCTTTTCTGTCTAACCATGAATAGGATTGCACCTTTAAAAGTGCTAAAATGATAACTGAATGTTGAAATTTGAAACATGCTAATAATGCTATACAGTGGCAAAGGTAAAATATATCAAGGAAGGGTTTTTAAGGTTAAAAATAATTACAATAGATACAGTTGGGTAAAGACTATTAACTGAATTTTTAGTTCTAATATCCTTGATGAAATTGCCAGGAAAAACATGCATCTTAAAAATGCTTAGGCTATGGTTTTACTTAGCACTTCATGCTTCTCTTAGGTGACATTGCATTGGGTCTCCACATCTCTTGATCCAGCCTGTCTCCATAGCACACACGTCCTACAGCTAGCTTGGGTTTGTGCCATTATTTGTGCCATTATTATTCCATGATAAGAACATAGAACCAGGTCAGGAAGGAAAGGGGGAGCTGCTTTCAAGAACTTGTAGGTGAAATAGTTTTTCTTAGTTTCAGCCTTTCTCTAGTATACACAGAAATTTATCTACCAGACATTTTTTAAGGATATCAATCAGTTATTGCTTCCTAAAATGCTTTTCTTATCTCTGTTTCTTCCAGTTTGCTCACAGTTTTCAAGAGGAGTCTTTGCTATTTTTGGATTTTACGACAAGAAGTCTGTGAATACAATCACATCATTTTGTGGAACCCTCCATGTCTCCTTCATAACACCCAGTTTCCCAACAGATGGAACGCACCCATTTGTGATCCAGATGAGGCCTGACCTCAAGGGAGCACTTCTGAGCTTGATTGAGTATTATCAGTGGAACAAGTTTGCATATCTCTATGACAGCGACAGAGGTAAGATGCTGTTTTTTGCCAGAAATTTCAGTTAAATGATAAAGTGGCACTTCAGTGGCAATCATACGACAGCTGACACTTCCCTCAGTTTTCTCCATGAAGAGATGAGGTGGGAACAGTTGCCAGAAGTCTAAAACACTAACTGTGTCAGAAAGGCTACCGTAGCCAAAGGGACTGATAATGTACAAAGGGATGCAATTTGTAAGTAATGTTTCCTTTGCCCTAGTAATGGGGTGTGCCATAATTAAGTAGGAAAGCACACACTTTTTATTGCAGAAGGTCTCAGTTCAGTCTGCGTCATTTCAAGTTAGGCTAGGACTTCAAATCCTGGAGAGCTGCTGCCAGTCAGTGTCAACAATACTAGGACAAATGGACAAGTGGTCTGACTCAACATAAGGCAGCCTTCTATGTAACTTATTGAATAAAAATGTGTAGTCTTCCTGGAGAGGTGTGATTAAACATCTACAAATGAATCAACCTTCCCAGTGTCTCACTATAACTGGAGCAGTTCTGGAAATGCCTGCTTCATTTTTTCAACCCATTGCTAACAAGAAGTGAAACTCAGTTATGCATAGAGATCCTCTCTCTTTCCTGGGAATGCTTCTGCATGCAGAAGGCTCCAGGTTCAATCCCTGCTATTTCATGGCAGAGCAGAAGAAATGCCAACATGAAACTGTGGAGAGCTGTTGCTAGTCAGTGTTGGAAGTACCACGTTAGACGGAAGTTAATGCTTCCTTCACTCAATGCTTTTTAAAACAGCAATTTCTTCCAACAACTGCTAATCCACTATTAAAGTGCAAAGGTATTTATCCTTCTAGACAATGATTCAGAAGGCTATAATTGAGAAAATATGATTGGATGAGGTTTGGAATGGAGAACTAGCAGATACAAATGGATTAAACATACACACATTATTGGATCTTTGCTGTACATCACCTCATCCTAAAGTTGATATTTTCCTTTGGCTTCTTTAAAAGGGCCCTTGGGTTGCTTTACATGCTCTTGCTTGTCAGGTCTCATTCAGCACATAAATGTCTTCTTTTTAAGTAATGCAAGTCACTGCCTCATGAGAGGAAGGAAATTTATATCAGTGTTTATTTTTCTAGTTCACCTTTGGGAACCACAATTCCCTGACTGCTTCATTGCTTCATTAAGAGGTTTTGCCAAATCATAAGACTCCTTTAAAGGGCCCTTGGTACACATTTCCACCTGATGTCACAATAAAAAGGCTGGTATATATGCCAGGAACATACATCTCTTGTTTTCAGTCCTCTGGAAGAAAATAAATCTCATTAACTGAGAACTAAGTCAAAAGCAGAAATCCAGGATTTACTGGTTAAACCCATTTTGAATTGATGAGGTAATAAGACTTTTCAGTGACAGTTGAAACATTTTTATTGTAATAATTATTCCTGCAACTATGATAACTGAAAACCAATTCTGCCTCTCCCTCTGCCCCCCATGGAGAACTGAATTGTATAATGAACAAAGGCAAGTGCAGGAAAACAAAAACCAGAGTGAATAGCAAAAGTGGTTCTGCAGAACAGAGGAAGGGTAGTGGGGATTGATGAAGAAAAAGGGGGTTATTCTGGGGAGAAGAACCGAAAGCTTGAAAAGGACAGGCTTCAAGCTAATCTGCAGGATGTTTAAAGGAAGGCAATGTCAGCAAATGATGTATGAAAATGTTATTTATAATTGATTGCAAAGATTGCAGGGAAGCATATCCAGATAAGCAAATATTCATGGAACAGCTCTGGCCATAGAATATCCTTGAGGCAGCATACAATTGTACACAATGATACAACAAAACATTTCCAGCAAACAAGATAAGATAAAAACTAGCAGATACGAATATATACAATAAGAATAACTGATTTGAAAGGTAGCACCTAAAACCTATTAAAAGATATCCCCCTAAAAGCCTGAGAAACAAGGTGGATGGAGCTTGCTGCCAACTTTGCTAATGTTTAGGCAATACTAGTCACATTCTGAGAGGATTCTTAATTCATCCACCCCACAGAAAAGACCCAATCCCTGGCAGACAGTCGTTTTACTTTAAAAGGCAGGTGAGCAAAGAAAAAGACCACCAAATAAGATCACCTTTGACAAGTAGATTGAAATGTCAGAGTGTCTGCACCAGGGGTTTTCTGGCCATTAACTTACTTTGGATTATTTATAACAATTCTGTTAGAATTCTGTACTCTCATTTCTTTCTTTTGTGTAAAACTTTTTTATTAAATGTGAAAGAGTTTGCACTAAAGATACTAATCTAAATATAATGTAGTTTGTAGTTCCATTTTGGATAGTGTTTATCCACCTCTATAACCACCATGGATAATAAGCAAATTACTCAATCAGTAAGTTACAGATTTTCTCTGTATATCCCAAGTATGGCTACATGATGAAACTGCTGATAGACCAGTCTATTTTAGTCATGATTGAGAATTACTCGGTACTCAAAAGGGTGCTATTAGGACAAAAGGTATTTGGTGTAGGAAAAGTCTTTCAATACATTATTAAAATGTGCAGCTGCACATAAAGCTGTGTTAGATTATGGCTACTGGCTTTTTGCAAGCATCTTCTTAATCATGAGAACTTGACACTTTCTTTTTAAAAATGAAAATAGGCTTTTGTATTAGTTGTCAGCATTTGTCCAGTTCCAGGCAAAAATCTATACAAAAAGATGCTGGGCATGAATGGGTATGCCAGTCTCATCAAGATTGTTGGGATTGGGAGAGGTTAAGTCAAGTTCATTCTGTCCCATTTCCACACAAGCTTGCATTTAAAAAAAATCATATGGAAATTCATATTCATAATGAACCCATTAAATTATTCATTTTTGCATTCTGCAACCATTGCTTGGGCACAACTTGGAAATTGTTAAGTGCTTTGTTTTAGTATTGAGGAAAACCTTACAAGCTCAGAAATGTATGGATCTCTAAGTGCTAATTGTCTTTGGGTCTATAGTCATGCTAGGAAAACGTTGTGATGGAGCAAATTTTTCACACCTCCCTAGAGCAAGCCCAACGTGCTGCCTGTTTAGACAGAAACAATTTCCCAGTATTTCCCATCTATCCAAGTAGGAGGGCTTTTTCTGTCCAAATGGGCATAGGAGTGCACCATTAAGGACACATAACTTTTTGTATCTTGCTTTCCATAAGATACTAAAAAAAATAAACAAACAACACCCCCCCACACAACATATGAGATCTTCTCTTCGCCCCTTGTTTGGTTACAAAAATTGTTTTGGTATTTTCTTCAGTATTTAGCAAGCAGAGTAATTTGATAGCTTCTTCTAATGTTATAGTATGTTTATTTATCTAAAACTAATCTACAATGCGAGATATCCTGGGGTTAGACTTTCATCAGTGTTTTGGTCCATGGCCTTTCATTGTTGCCTTTGTTTAGATGTATTGTGAGTAATCAGTGTGGTGACACACTACATTAGGATGCATAATCAGTGTTGTTCATCATTTGAAGTGGGGTGGGAAGGACACTCTACATGTACCATTCAGTTGCTTACTCATACCACATCCAAATAACCTGACTGAATAATAATGCAGAAGAGAAAGTTGCACGTGAAAGTGTGGGATGGGGCTAAGGACCCATTTAACTCTACCTACACATGAAAACTGTGATGGCTTAGGAGCTGGTTACCTGCCATATGTGCCTGCCCACCCATTAAGATCTGGGATGGAGGCCCTTCTCCAGGAGCCCTCCTTGAAGGAAGTTAGGAGGGTGGTTACCCAGAGAAGGACCTTATCTGCAGTGGTGCCCCAGTTATGGAATACATTCCCCAGAGAGGTTTATTTTTATTTTATTTTATTTATTTTATTTAGAAAATTTCTATGCTGCCCCATTCGCCGAAGCCTCGGGGCGGCTCACAAAACATTAAAATATAATACATTAAAAATATAAAATGAATTACAATATAAAATAAGTCGCCCTGGCCAAAGAATAAAATAAGGAAATAATATTAGCAATTAAAATGACGTTTGAATAAAAAGGTCTTTGCCTGGCACCGAAAAACAAATAACGATGGCGCCAGGCAGACCTCTCTGGGGAGCGCATTCCATAGATTGGGCATCACCGCAGAGAAAGCCTTCCTCCGAGTACCTACCCTCCTAATTTCCTTCACAGAGGGTTCCCAGAGAAGGACCTCTCCCGCAAATCTCAGGGAGCGGGCAGGAGTATATGGATGTAAGCACTCCTTCAGGTAGCCAGGACCCAAGCCATTTAGGGCTTTATAGGTCATCACCAACACCTTGAATTGGGCCCGGACTTCAATGGGAAGCCAATGAAGCTGACGGAGGACTGGAGTCATGTGAACATACCGCCCAGTTCCTGTCAGCAGCCTGGCAGCTCTATTTTGAACCAATTGAAGTATCCGGACCGTCTTCAAGGGTAGCCCCACATAGAGCGCGTTACAGAAGTCAAGACGGGAAGTCACCAATGTGTGTGTCACTGTCGCCAGGCAGTCGTACTCCAGGTAGGGGCGCAGCTGATGGATCAGCTGAAGCTGAAGGAAAGCGCTCCTCGCCACTGCTGTCACCTGAGCTTCCAATGAAAGCTCTGGGTCGAGGAGCACTCCCAAGCTGCGGACCTGGGAGTGCTGGTGCCATCACTTTATTATTCTTGGTGCTAGGCTAAAACCTTTTTATTTTCCCAATACTTTAAGGTTTGTTTTTTAATATAGGTTTTATTGTCAGAGACTAATTGGCATGCTGCATTTTATTTTATTTGGTTCTGTTTTGCTGTTAAACCTTTCTGAGACTTCGGTGGTGGACGGTATAAAAAAGGCTTATGTGTGTGTGTGTGTGTGTGTGTGTGTGTATTTCTTTTTCATATACTTTTAAGATTCCATTAAGAAAGCATGTCAACCTTCCCTATGATCCAGAATGGTTTTGTGCATCACTACACTGGCTTTCTGTTTAAATTAACACTGATTAGCAAGGTTAATATGTGGTAATGCAGTAGCCTAGTCTGGTCTACTCAGGCAAATTATGGTCTGAGCCCATCTGCTGCTAGATTTGCTGCTAAAGGAGCAATTACCTGCCCTATATATCTACTGCATTCAATACCCACTACTGGTGTCATAAAAACAGACTAGCCTCCAGAACCAGTGAGACTGCAAGAGGAGGTAGAAATGTTTAGCTAGAGTATCTCTCATATGAGTATACACTCCGCAGTCCAAGTATTGTTTCAGCTTACTCAGTATTGTCTACCCTGACTATCAGCAGCTCTCCAGTATTTCTGTCAGAGGTCTACCAGCCCTACCTGGAGATGCCAGGATTGAGTCTGGGAACTTCTTCATGCAAAACACGCCCGCCAAGTGATTGATAGTCCTCCCAACTGCATCAAACCCAGTCTGCTTCTGAGCTACAGGATCCTGATAACTAGTTTGCATGTTTGACCAGATGGGGGATATTCTACCTGTTCTAGATGGGGTTGCACTTCTCCTGAAGGAGCAGGTTTGTTGCCTGGGGGTTCTTCTCGATCCATTTTTGTCCCTTGAGACTCAGGTGTCTTGTAATGACTTTGGCTGGTGGCCCAGCTATGCCTGTATCTGAACAGGGGTAGCCTACATTCAGTAATCAGAAGACTTTTCAGAAGCTTCACCCCATGCAGAATCTAGCAGCCATTGCTGGGATCCATAGGGATCCACATATAAAAGCAGTTCTGGCTTGCTGGCATTGGCCATCCTTAAGCTTCTGAGCCCTATTGACGCTCCTGGTTTTAACCTATAAAGCCTTAAATGCTTGGGACCAGAACACTTGTGAAAACCTCTGCCAACCTATTTGGACACCATGCTCAATCTTTGGAACCTTCATCTGAGTACCACCTCCAAGGGATGTTCAGAGGGTGGCATCAAGGGGAAGTGCTCTCTGTGATGGGCCTCCATCTATGGAGCATCCTTCCTAGTACCAACCTTGTCATCTTTTCAGTGCTGCATTGAGACAGCCCTTTATCTTGAAGCCTTTAAAGATTTACTTGGTTACCAGGCCAGGTGTTCTCCTTTTTTACAGGGTCATTATTTACTATATGCTTTGACTGTTTAATTTTTTAAAATGCTGCTCTGATCTTACGGTATTTGTATTGTGTTTTATTGTTTTGTTTCTACGGATTATGGAAACTGCCCAGATAACTTTGTGAGATGGTAGAAGTAAATACAGAAATACATAATGTGCCAGTAAATAGGGCTTTGTGTTAGGAAGAAGCATGAACAAGGATCTAAGCGATAAAACCAGAGCTTGCCAAAGTTTTTGTAATTTCACCTCAAAGGTCATTCTGACTTAAGTCCCCCTCACAAGACTGTTTCACTGTCTCACTGCAGAACAGTATAGCAAGGAGAAGGATGCAACTGCTGCACTCCCACCATTCTACTAAGGAAGAAAGATTCACTGCTTGCCCAATAGTAATTAAGCACTTCATAAAAGAAGCCTAGTTTTAGAATCATGGTTAGCATGTGGTTTGAACCCAGTTAAGATAACAAACTATATAACCCACAGCTCAAACCCCAGCAACAAATCATTGATTCTCTTAATGGATTTTAAGCAAGCTATGGTATCTTAGTGCAGCTTGGTTCAATCAACATGATAGCCCACATTTCAGCACCAACTCATGGTTCACCAACAAGCCACAGCCAACCTATATTCCACCACTGAATGTGGGTTATTGTGTTCTATGAAAGCAGTCATGAAGTCTCTTGGGTTTCAGAAGCAGGAATAGAAGCTGTGACCTTCTGCATACAAAGAATGTGTTTCACCTTATGTGCAGTTCAAACAAGAAGGCATAAAGACACTCACACCCCCACACATAAGCAAAAGAGAGAGATAGAAGGTATAGGAGAAAACGTTTTAAATGTGTTGTGTTGCAAACATAAAGGACACAAACTATTCAATAGCCTTTAGTTATGGATTCAGCAGATGTCACTGTATTATTTTCTGAGAGAAATCATTTCAAGATACAGTGCTACACAATAGCACAGAAACCATTCTCACCAAGGCTGATAAAAGTAACCTACAATGAAAACAAAGAGATATAGTTATATAAGCTTGGTCCCATCTCCCTTGAACAGAATTTTCTATGGATCCAAGAAATGCCCTACCTGTAGTGGTTCATCACTTTATGGTGTTAATTTGCATAACTAATGGTTGATTTATCTTAGAAGTATATCAGCCTAGCAATAGTGTATCTAGTTCAATTGTCTTTCTTTGTGTGCTTCCAGGTTTGTCAACATTACAAGCTGTGCTGGATACTGCAGCTGAAAAGAAATGGCAAGTGACGGCTATCAATGTGGGAAACATTAACAATGATAGAAAAGATGAAACATATCGCTCATTGTTCCAAGATTTGGAGGTAAAAAAGGAGAGACGAGTAATTCTTGACTGTGAACGGGATAAAGTCAACGACATTGTAGATCAGGTTTGCTACATTCTATTTTTACCAGGGTCAAGGAGAGTAAGCATAAGGAAAACAGACTGAAATGCTGATTTATCACCAAGATTTATTCTGTGTGTGTGTGTACATGCAGTATATGTTGCATGCATGATCTCTGGCTATATATGTGCATATATCATATTTCAGCAGTAGCAAAAATATTCTAATAAATACATAAATGGGTAAAACAACCCAACCAGGCGATCATATACAGTTCAAATACTTTCTGTGTTGTGGACAAAGATGTTGCCTTAACTGTTTCTCTTGGACCTAAAGGGTACCTTGGATGAGTGGGTAGAACTTCGATTTACCCAAGTAGGGAGTGGAAAATTCCCAGTTCCCAGGAATTCTCCCCTCCACCATGCTGTACGTCAATCTTGAGGATTCTGAGATCCTCAGGGATGCCTTTATAGGGAATGCAAAGCTCTAACATGGTAAGGGGGCAAGAAAGCTGCAATGTGCGAGCACTGAGCTCCACAAAATAAACTCTGTGTCAACTTTTTTGTCTTTTCATCTCTCCATGTGTACTGTTACTTCCACAGAGGTGAGCAAATGGAAATGCTTTTAAACTGGGATGGGAAGCCAATCTGTAGTCTGAAACCCCATGTAGGGTCCTGTCCTTAATTCTCAAAGCTAGATCAATAACAGACGGCTGTTGTGAGCCACCCCGAGGCTTTGTTGTGATGGGGGCAGCATAAAAATGTTTTAAATAAATAACCTTTGGTCCTTTGGCTGGGGAAGATTGATAAGGAAGTCTAATGTGTACATGTGTTCATCGGCCCCATTATAAACTACAAAGATCTTCATTTGCATTTGATCAATGGTAGATTAAAAGTCACTCCATCACCTCCATACTATCTAGTTAAACTAAAGTACTTAATGTGACGCTAGTTTAGTTCCATCATCACAAATTTTATAGTATAATATATTATGTTATTATATGTCCCTGTGCCTCCCCTCTCCCCCCATCAGATCGGTAATTTGATTCTCTTCTAGGTTATTACAATTGGTAAACATGTAAAAGGATATCACTACATCATTGCAAATCTGGTAAGTTACCTTTGTTGTGTTGTGTTGTGTTGTGTTATGGGAGTGTAGTGGATGAGCTGAGATACAGGAGAACCAGGTTCTACTTCCTATCACAGGGTGATTTTGGGCCAGTCACTCACCCTCAGCTGAACCTGCTTCATGGGGTTGTTGAGAGAATAAAATGGAAGATTATGTAAGCTTCCTTGAATTCCTTGCAGGGAAAAGGTTGGGATATAAATATAATGGACAGACGGATGGATAGGTTTATATTTTCTGTCTAGAAAACATCTTAGACAAAACATCCTAGTTGATCCAGAGTTTGAGATGGGATATCCTTGGGCCAGACATCTTTTCCCTTTTCTTTGCCCTCTCTCTTTCCTAATCTCCAGCATTCATACATAGTCTTCTTCTGTGCACTTGGTTCCACAGGGCTGCTTTCTCGCCACAAGAATGCTGAACCCATTCCTTCCATCTTCTTCACACTTCTTTTCCTTCACCTCCACCCCCACCGCCACACACACAGTGTTCATAGTCTCTGGTCCTAAGCAGACTTGCCTGAAAGAAAATTACAGTCTCAGCAGTACACCTTCTGAATCTTTTAAAATAGCTCACTGCCTTGATCATGTTAGGGAGAATTGAAAGAAGAAGAGGAGGAAGAGCAACTATGAGATGGATTGATTCCGTAAAGGAAGTCACAGCCTTGAGTTTAAAAGAACTGAACAGGGTTGTGACAGACAGGACATGTTGGAGGGCATTCATTCGTAGGGTCACCATAAGTCAGAGACAAGTTGATGGCATATAACAACAACAACAACAACTGTCTTTTTAAGAGGTCATGACAGCATGTGATTAATGTTAGGCAGGAAGTCTTCTCATGGCTGCCTGGGTGGAGGGCACAGAAAGCTAAAGCTTATTCTTGCTCATTCATGTACTAAACCATGATTTACTGCTACTTGACATTACAGAATGATGCAAGCTTTATTCACTTGTCTAAGTACATCAAAACCATGCTGGTTTAAGTGACTAGGTTCCCAAGTGTCTTCTGCATATGCATAGGATTTTGAGCTGCATTCTGCTCCTTCCCTGCAAAAACCTGAGACACTGCTTGAGTGAATCAGTGCCTATTCACCCAAGCTCATAAAGCTAAATGGCAAGGAAGAGAACCAAGATCCTTCTATGATGCTTGTAGTCATTGCTGGTCTAAAAAGAAGAAAAGGTGGGGAACTTTCAGGGTTCAAATGTGTATGTTACCTGAGCTTTCTTAGTGATATGTGGTAGAAAATGTGGATTCCTGTCCAGCTGACCAATGTTTTCAATGCTTAGGGATTTACTGATGGAGACTTATCAAAAATACAATTTGGAGGGGCCAATGTCTCAGGATTTCAGATAGTGGACTATGATGATCCCCTGGTATCAAAATTTATACAGCGCTGGTCAACACTAGAAGAAAAAGAATATCCAGGAGCACATACTAGTACAATTAAGGTATGCTACTTTGCTCGTATACTTAGAATAGGGTACTCTGAGAAAAGGACACAGTTAATAGAGTATTAATGGCGATGACAGGAGCAGAAGTAGTGACAGTACTAGAATCTAGGCTAGCAATATCATCATGAGAATGTGATATGTTAAAGACTCAAGAATTGTATTTTGGCATTAGGATTCACCGATTAGCTCCCGCTTTATCAGGTGCATGGTGTTATTCACATTTTCCATATTGAAAGAGCAGCAGTAGTTCTGTCACATCTTTGTACAGAATACAAAGGTAGGTAAAGTAAAAACAGAGACCCATTCACTGATGAAATTTCAATCTTTCTTGCAAATGCTATCTTTCTCACTAAAGCAGGTTCATTACCTTTTGTAATGAGAACAATACTCCCAAAACTGATCGAATCTGAATTCAATAAAAACTGAATTTGCTAATAAATTCTAGGTCAGCGGTTAAATATTGGAAAAGAAAAAATAATGGTGCTAAGGGTAATTTACAGCTTATATGGAGCAAGGGAAAGTGGATCATATTGTCCTATAGTCTGTAATGTTATATACAAATATTTAGCAAAATCATCATGATCACCAGAGTCATTGAAGAAATATATATATATATATATTTGAAGGACCATATACATATTTGAAGGGCCATATAGAATAAAGCAAGAACCTTTGACAGTCAGGGGTGCAGGGCATGCTCTGTTAAATTCCAGTAGATTTTTCTTCTGATTCCTGTTCTTAGCAACTGTTGTGCTTAACTGATTATTTCTTTTAACTGAATATTTTATCCTGCTGTTTCTGTTTGTACATGTTTTGGATTTTACTTGTGTTCTTTATTATGGATTGCTCTGAGAGCTTTCAGGTACGGGGCACCTAATGAATCTTAGAAATAAATAAAATGAATGCAAATGAAGCAAGCAACACATGGAACTCTATACATTTTAAGATGCTGGAATAAAAATCACTGGAAAGAAAATACATCGGCTGTATTGATTTCCCAGCATGAGGAAGCCAAGAGACAAACAACCTTCTGCTAATGGCATGGATAAGTCTGATATTTAAGTTTACTCCACTGTAACAGCACAGAGTCCCAGTTTAGATCAAGACCAGCATGTCTAGGGATGGAAGGATTACACATCACCCCACATTCTGGTTTTCTGCTGAAATTCCAGATTTTAGTTCAGGGCTAAAGGGGAATATAGGAAAGAAAAGATGTCTATATTGACTCTAGTTGAAATTGCTTTCTTCCTTTTTTAACTTTTTCCCTTGTGTGTAGAATTTCAGGTTTTGTTTTGGTTTTTTTAAAATGAGTGTGGGAGTTTAATCTCTCCTTTCCAGAGCACACTGGTCCCAACAGGAATTAGGATCATGCATAGTTATACTGGAGCAAAGCAAAATATAAGGCTCAGTTGCACCTATCTAATTAGTTGTAATTTGGATGTTATTATTATTGTTTCTGGATCATCTCTGGTCCAGTTAGTTTACATGCTGGAATAGAACCCAGGATGAATGATGCCTCAAAAGACCTGATATTAAAATCACACATAGAAACAGTTATACAATCTTTAAAAAAACATATACATGATGACTGCATCACAGAATATTATGAGTTGGATGGATTCTGTAAAAGCAATATTTTAAAATAGTAGCTGTATTAGCATGTGATGTTAATGCATGTAACCATGGTCTGTTGCTTAAGACAAGCAAACAAATTGTGGCCTGTTTTTCCTATTTCTGGTTTATTAATCTCCCACCATTTTGCTAGCTTTCTGGGTCGTTTGTTCTCATACTGCTTTTGCTAAGTGACTCCTTAATTCCAGGCACTCTAGTTCTCGTATTTTGGCTCACAGGCTTCCATATTTGCATAAAACATCCACGCATAGTGTCCCTCTCCAGACCTCTCTGGCATGTGCAATTTCTGTTTTGGCACATACATCTCTTTGATTGGTTATCATAGTTTAGTATATTCTCATGGCCTGTTTGTTTCAGGATGGAGAACACTGCAAACAAACCAGGGTAAACCATGCTTCTGTGTACAGACATCAACAAGCCAAGGTTTAAACCAAGAAGAAACCATGACTTCTGTTTGTAGTTTGTAGCTAATAAACAAACCATGGTTTGTTTGCAGAGATGGGTTCAGGTCCAACAATAAATCACATTTCAACAAACCATACCATAGCTTAGTATAATGTTCAGACTAGGCCATTGTTTCTTTAGATGTGTCAGTTTCCAAACGATATTAGATATTGGTTACTAGAGCATACCAACAGTTTTCAAATGAAGATCAGTCTGCCCTTCTTTAGATTATTGCAAAAATTTTACTGTGTGCATCATGAGAAGCCATGGACGGTTCTGAAAGAAATAAGTGTGCCTCAGCACTTGATTGTCCTGATGCTTAACTTGTATCATGAACAAAAAGCTACTGTTAGGGCAGCATATGGAGAAATACAAAGCTTTTCTATAGGCAAAAGCATCAGAAGAGGGTGCATTTTATCTCCTTATCTGTTCAATCTATACAAAGAACATATAAGGAACACCGGATTAGGATCAGAAGAAGCAGGAGTGAAAACTGGTAGAAGATAGATCAGTTATTTATTTATTTATTTAGAAGGCTTCTATGCCGCCCCATTCGCCGAAGCCTCAGGGCAGCTCACAATAATAAATAGAATTTAAGTTGCACATATAATACCATATTACTGGCAGAAAACAGCAGTGAATTGAAACAACTCCAGATGAAAGAGAAAGAAGAAAATGCAAAAGCAGGACTGCAATGAACATTAAGGAAACAAAATTTATGACCAGAGAAGAATTAAAAAACTTCAAGGTTAACAATGCAGAGATAAAAATTGTGAAAGATTTTAGATACCTTATAAAGTCAAAAGAAGACTGCAGCCAAAAAAAAAAAAAAAATAGAGGGAAATTTGCACTTGGAAGTGCAGCAATGTAGTAACTAGAAAGAAAATCAAGTGCAAGGATATTTCACTGGAGACCAAGGACAAGAACATCCACATGATTGTATTTATAATTACTATGAATGGATGTGAAATCTGGAGAGGTTAGATGTGTTTAAAACATGGTGCTGAAGGAGAGCTTTGCAAATACCTTGGGCTAACAGAAAGTGGGTCCTAGACCAAATCAAGCCAGAGCTTTTCTTAGAAGCAAACATGTAAAAACTGAAGCTGTAGTATTTCATGGATATCAGAAGAAAACTCGCTGGAGAATACAATAATTCTGGGGAAAGCTGAAGGCAGAAGAAGAGCAGGATGATCAACCCTGAGATTAATCAATTCTATAAAGGAAGGCACAGCCTTTAGTCTACAAGAGCTAAGCAAGGCTGTGAAGAACAGTATGTTTTGGAGAGCATTCATTTGTAGGGTCACCATGAACCATAGATGATTTGATGGCAAGTAACAACAAGAAAGAGAAGCCATAAGGTATATGGTTTTTGTATTCTGTATTGGTTCTTTTCAACTGCTTTCAGCCCTTTGATTAATAACTGGCACTTGCCTTTCAAGTCCTAATTTCCATGCCCTTCCCTTTTCCCTTGTTCTCTCTGTCCTTGATAGAACATTCAGAACCATTCAATGAACAAGTAGCTCTGGGAAGCAAATATTTCCACTTTGCATATTTTATCCAAATCACTGAATTTGGGGCATCCTTGGAACAGAATTTGAATGAGAAAAAGCATAGAGTATATGTATGAAATTCTAGGAACAGAAAAATCTAATTTCTTTACTCTGGCTGTGCCTATAATGTTCAAGATACCCAGACAGCACACTTATTTCCCCCATTCCAGTTGCATTTAAACCTCCATCTTATCATTCTATGTCTGGCACAAGGTACTTTTGTGATCATTTCTGCCTCTACCACACTGTGCAATGGGTACATCTAGATGGCTATTTTCAATTGTCTAGATTTAGTACAAGGGAGAGGGAGCGAAGGAGTCTGGAATGCCCATCCAAATCAGAGTAGGTCCACATCCACAGCTTCCTGTTCTCCCTGTCCACTGGCACTCCACTATTATTTCTTTCCTTTCCAAGGCCAGTTGTAAAGTGAGGGTGGGTAGTCTGCATGGTTCTTCCTGCACTGACGATAATGAGTGGGATGCAGTGGCATCACATGATTTCAGAGCCGGGATTCCAAAGGCTCCTATGGCCTCCCAGACAATTTTGGTAGGCCAAAGGATGGCACACATAGAATAGACATGTGACTGGTCCTCTTCAGCAACAATGTTCAGTTCTGAAGTATTTTTCATTGCAGGACTCAAACATGATAGTAGTTGCTTGTCCTCAAGTTGCTTGCACTTCTCTTTGAGTACATTTCCACAGGGAAATGTAAAGGGTTGCTTGTTAGGGTAGGCATGTGAAGCAATGTAATATGACTGACATAAATCAGGATGTCAGATTATGACACAGGAATCTAAGATATTAAATGGAAAGAGACATTTCCAACTCAACTCATACCCAAAAGTGCTTTTAAAAGGGAACAGCATTTATGCATTTTAAAAACTGTCTTCAGAGTCCATTTTTCAACATGTTTAACCATCTTTTTCAAGATCCAACATGGATATTTTCTTCTTGTTAAGGGGAAGGGAAAGAGGCAAGGACTAGTGCCAATTCCCCTCACAGAGAGGTGGCCAAGATCCCAGAATGCACGATGCCCTGCTGTGCCTAGGAATAGACACTGCACATGGCCTGCACAGAAGGAAGTGGTGGTGTTATAGTGACCCTACGGTGGTACCCAGCACCACTACATGGATGGGTTCTCCTGACTACCAGTCAGGCTATAGAGGCTGGTTTAAGAGATGTGTCTTCTTCTTCCCCAACATTGTTGCAACAGCACATAGTACCTGATGGCCTGCAGGTGTTGTCTAGGGCACGTTACCTGTCGCAGGGTCTTAGTAAAATGCAAGATATGCTGTGAGCCTCTAGGGGACTCCAGGATCCTTCCAAGTCAGCCACAGATTGTATAGCAGTGGTTGTAAGAGGCAAAGCAAC